CTGCCGGGCAGCTGCAAGGGGCGGCCAGGCCCTGGCGAGAGGGCGGCGGAGGCGCGGCGGCTCCTGATGCGCCTCCAGGAGCCCAAGAGCAAGGCCAGGCTCCTGGCTCCGCAGCCGCCCACGCAGGAGGAGCAGGCGCGGCTCGCGGCGGTGCTCCGCGACGGCGCAGGCGGCGAGGATGGTGCAGGCGCTCCCGCTGGTGCAGGGCGGCCGCCGCGCTGGGGGCTGCGGCCCGTCGTGGCGGACGCCTGGCAGGCGGCGGTGCTCCGCGGCTTCGCCTCGCCAGCCGCCGCGGCTCGCTGGGCGCGGGCCCGCGTGGCGGCGGGCAGGGAGTCGCCCTTCGGCGACTGGGGCGCGGACTGACAGCCGCGCAGACGGCGCCTGGTTTAGCCCGCCGGCAGGGCGCCGGGGGGCCGAACAACATGAAAACCAAGCCCTCCTCCTCCTCCTCCTCCTCCTCCTCCTCACCGTTGCCATTCTGGCTCAAGGTGGGGGCAGGCTCCATTTGAGTTGAGGCAGCCTCTTTTCCGAGGCCATCCTGGAGTCAGGCCCAGGCGGGCACCTTTCCTTCCTGTCGAGCTCACGCCCGAGCAGGCAGGCTGCTGTGCTGAGATTTCCGCGCTATCGCTGTCGAGTGAAGCGATTGCCCAGCTGGGGCAGCTGTTGGATTTGCGGTTCACGCCCTTGAACGCGAAGATCGACACCACTATCCGAGACGTGAAAGCTCTAGTCGAGAAGCTCGGCTCCAGCGTCGCTGGGATGCAGATGGAGCAGGCAATCCTGAGGCAGGCTCTATCGGACTTCCAGGCTCAGGTGCGCAATTCCTCCGAACCCGGCAGCACCCTCGAAATGATGACATGGCCCCTGGAGATGCCTGGTCGCGTACCTCATCGTCCCTCGTCACTTCCACGCAGCTGGAGGCCCGTCTAGTGAAGATGGAGGAGAACATTGCCGAGACGGTCACTGCTTCCCTGTCGTCCTCTCCCTCCTCTGCTGGCTCTGTTCCGTGGAGCTCGTTCGAACCGTCGTCGGCGTCCAAGGGGTCGTGCGAGGGCACTCCTGTCCGCCAGCGTCAGTTTGCTGCACCGCCCTCGCTGCTTCCTGCCGCGCCTTCCACGGAGGCGGGGGGCAGATGCAAAGTTTGGATCATAGGCTTCCCTCGGAAGCTATTGCCGAGGGTTTTCTCTTCAAAACCTCGCCCAATGAAAGCGGCTGCGGGTGGCTTGCTCGACGACGCCACCGCCCAGTGCAGGGCTACCTTACGTCATGGACCCAATACAAATGCTCAGTGCATTGTCGTCTACCTGAAATTCATGCGCGCCGCTGGATCTGGGAATCGTGCACTTCTTCAACAATGCATCTCATGTATTCCGCATTTTAGAGATATCTATGCCATCGAGGCCGTGCCGAATATGAACAATTTCATGAAGAGCTCGCGGTGCTATGTCGGGGAGAGGCGTTGGGTGCTCTGGAAGCCCTTTCTGATCTATTGCCGGGGGTGGGGGAGTTGCCCGATGACTTGCCCGATGATGCTCATCCGCCCGACGCTTGCTTGCCCGGTGACGTGCGCGATGATGTGCTTCGCCGCGCCCCTGCATCCTCTTCTGCACGTCCATGTGCAGATTCAGCTGGCCCGCTGATGACCGAGCGCGGCCTACCTGTATCCGGGTCTGCTTGGACCTAGCCAGCAACCTGATGGGCAGGGCGTCAAAGGTCCGTGCTCGGGCCAGACTTGTCTGAGGGTCCAAGCTGCTGACGAATTTGATCATGTCCGCAATAGACGTGTCTCTCTGCCTCGCATCGGCGACCCGCTGGCCGCGGAAGCTCAGCCAGCTCGGAAGAAAAGGCGCAAGCGGAAGGCCTGCAAGCGGCCCCAGTTGCTTTCGACCCTGAGTTTGCCAGCGCAGCCGATCCTCGCGCTGAGCGACATTGCTCTCATTGAAGCTAGGTCACCTGCCCGACGAAAGCTCCATCGTTTTCCGGCTGGGGCCCGTGCTCTGTGGAGCCCATTCGCATGGGGGAGTCTGCCGATAATCTTGCCGCCCACCGGGGGCCAATGCGCGCGGCGCAGCAGGCGCCCCATTCATTGTTCGGCCGCGTGCTAGATGAGCTCAGGTTGCACGTCCATCCTATCTTTCCTGGCATTGAATGGTTTATTGATGAATCTGTCTTTGCTGGTGTTCTCTCTTCTCGGCATGATTCCACGACTGGACCTGGCGGTGTTCCTGGCAGCGCGTGGAAGAATGCTGGCTTTGTCGCCCATCAGCATCTCTTTCGTGCTTTCTGTGCCCTCGCGGACTTCCAGAAGCCTCCTTGTGGGTTCAACAAAGGGAATGCTGTCATCTAACCCAACAGAGACGTTGACGCGGATGGGTCTACTGTGCTGGCCCCCAAACATACGAGGACGCTCGCCACGAGTAACGCCGACAGCAAGATCTTCTCGGCATGTCTTGGGATCCCGTTTATTCTACAGGCCCAGCATGGGATTTCGCGGTCCGCTCGTGGGTTCATCAGAGGGCACGACATCCTCGACGACATTACCGGGCTCGAATCTTGGCCCCTAGAATGGTGTGTCTGGAGGGGGCATCCCAATGCTGGGCCCGTCCCCGTGGATATTGTAGCCGCGTGCCCGTCCCTGAACCGCCAGTTCATGTTCGATGCGCTCGCTGTCCTCGGCGTCCCCTCTGCGATTTTGAAAGCTGTTGAGTACTTGCGCGATCGCGTTGAAGTCGAACTGCTCTTTCGTGGGGGGAAGTTCCCTGGCTGGTTGATCACGCGTGGTGTGGAGCAAGGATGTCCATTGGCAGGGCTTCTTTTTGCGCATGCGATAGATCCAGTGTTGCGTGCTCTGGAGAGACGGATCTCGGCTCGCCCTGCTGCTCTCTACTCTTTCGCCGATGATGTGGGGATTGCATGTGGTGACTTCTTTGTGTCTCTGCCTGTCATTTTCGCGTGGGTGTCTCAGCAAGCGCAAGTCACAGGTCTGTGTCTCGATCTTGACAAGTGTGTTCTGGTCGCCCCATGGATTGACGGGCCCTCGGCTATCATAGCAGATTTCAGGCGTCTTGGGGTGAATATGATTAGATCCCAGATCCGTTCGCGTGGCAAATATCTTGGAGTGTTTCTCGGACCTGGGTGACGTGGTGCCTCCTGGGATGGCCCTTGTCGTAAGTTACTGGAGCGAGTCGCACGCGTGCGTTCCTTTCATCTGTCTCTGGTGCACATCTTGCATGCGCGCGACATCTTCGGCTTCCCGATCTCTCTTATGTATGGCAACTGCATCCTGTCACGCCTCATGTCCGGAAGACAGAACGCGCTGCCCTGCAGAGACTTACTGCTGCCCCTCGACGCGCTATTCCCAGCGACCCGTTTCGGCACACCGCGGATATCGGGATCCAGTTCGAAACCAAAAACCTGGGGGTACGGCTCGGGCTGCCATGTTGCGTGCTGCTGCAGGCTCGCGAGAGCTCGGTGATGCCATCGGGCGTTTCCATCGCCTGTTTGCAGGAGTTCTGGGCCTTGCTGTTCTGTTTCTTCCCAGGTCTCCTTGGTGTTGGGAGTCGTCCGTCACCTTCTCGATGATGCGCTGCTGGAGAGAGTTGACGGTTCTTGCTCTTCACCTCTGTGATCCTGAAGAGGCAGTTGTCCAGAGGAAGATGCATCGATTCCTGAAGTCCCGTCATCCTTCCCCTTCCCAGGTTCCACTACTTCTGAGGCGTGTGCGTTATTTCTGGCCTGAGGCCCCACCCCCGTCGGTGATCGTGTTTTCCAGGATTTTTTTTTCTTTTTCAACTAGTAAAAATTTCCCCTCTGTTGGCCTCGCATATCTGCGGATTGCGTGCACTGCGTGGCCGACCACCCGGAGATTTCGGCAAGGTGCGGACATTTGCCGCTTCGGCTGCTGCAGCTTGGGCGGGGACCAGGTGGGCCATTTGTTTTCTTGCCCCGCGTTGCTGCCTCTGCTTCCTCTCGTCGTCCGTTCCCTCCCCCCCTGCTTCCTTTCGCTTTCTTCACGTCAGCTTATGTTTGCCGTGCAGCTTCCAGACATGGTCCCAGAGGATTTTCACCCCATACTGTTAATTCATGATCTTCATTATGCCACAACGCATTGCGTGCTGGAAATAGATACGGCCCCAACGGAGTTCGGCATGTAAGTGTCGCCCGAGTTAGAGACGTCACACAAAACCGAGGAGTCTGCTGACTCGCTCGTGGGCCAGCGGGACGACAGACACAAAGGAAGTGGGGGCTCCTCCTCCTCCTCCTCCTCCTCCTCCTCCTCATTCTCTTCCTAGTCATCCTCCTCCGCATCGGCACCATCATCAACATCATCATCGTCGTCGTCGTCGTCAGCGTCAGCAGCAACATCATCAGCGCCACCGCCAACATCATCATCGTAATCATCGTCATCATCACCAGCAGCACCAGCATCGTTATCACCATCATCAGCATCGTCATCAGTATCACCATCAACATCATCATCATCACCACCAGCATCATCATCATCAGAGCAGCATCATCATCACGATCATCATCACCATCATCATCACCATCATCATCATCGTCGTCGTCAGCAGCAGCAGCAGTAACATCGTCATCATCATCATGCTCATAATCTTTAACGCATCGTCATCATAATCGCAATCATGAGCGTCATCATCATCATCATTAACAGTATTAGCATCATGGTCATCATCGTCAACAACACCAACAGTAGCATCATCACCATCATCATCCTCATCAGCACCATCACCCGCGCCATCAGCATCAGGATCATCCTCGTCATCACCATCACCATCACCATCACCATCACCATCACCATCATCATCATCATCATCACCATCATCATCGTCGTCATCATCATCATCATCATCATCATCATCATCATCATCATCTTCGCTCCTCCCCAGTGGCGGGATGGGTATGGGAGAGAGACGGTATCCGCCTGGCACGCTTGCCGCCCCCTCATCCCTTGGACGGCGGGGGCACGTCGGACCCCTGAGGCGCTTTTCCGCGGAGAAGGAGGAG